AGTATTCACTGAAATAGCTTGTATTTCCAGGGGAAAATCTGGAAATAATCCAAGTGCCTGGCAATAGGTAAATGGTTGAACAATGGGACGTCCATACTATGGGCAATTGTGCAGCCATTAAACAGAACACAGCAGATGTACAAGCCTGGAGGAGTCCCTAGGGCATACAGCTATGGGGAAAAGGTGAGTTATTGAACAACATATTCACCAGCCACGACATATGATTGTGAAATAATATATTTCTGTAAGTCGTATTTTACATACACACACACACACATACACACACAAACACACACGTAAAAGCACTGAAAAGGTGAGGAAGGTAACTCATCATTCCAGTGGGAGGTAGGGTAAGACAGTGGAATGAGGACGTAACTAATCAGCATTTGAATTCTTATGTACCATGAGAATATATGCATACAGTACTTGTGTCATTAAAAATAATTTTTTTTTAAATAAGGAGAAGAATGAGTCCCCACATTCACACCCCACAGGTCCCTTTAAACTCACTTCTGTTAAGCCTTTCATAGGCGGTCCACCATTGATCGCTTCCTCCTATGAGCAAAGATGACAGGGAAAAAGGATTCAAAGGACAGGAGGAAGTGAGGGAATGGGATAAAAGAGGGATGAGGGAACAGTGAACAGGGAAGGCAGAATGTAAAGAAAAACGTAAAAAGAAAGAGAAGGAAAAACGTTGTGAGAAAGCGACATCATGCCAATCTGAATCCATCCTACATATATGCACGGTCGCATCTCTCTTGTGAGGTCTCTGTGCATGAGACAAAACCCAGGACTTCCAAGTGCCTGAGAGAATCAAAAAGAACTACAGGAAGTTCTCTTTACCCTCACTGCTCTTCATTTGACTTGCAAACAAGCATTCAGTGTAAAACACGCTTTCATTAAATGTATCCACTCTTTACAATGGCCCTACGTTCTATCCTTCCAAGGGAAGGCAGCTGGACATGGAGGGGGAGGAAGGCAGTCAGACAAGTCCACCTGTGGCTGTGGTCGTCAACCTGAGCAGGACATCAGAGTCACGTGGGGGTGGATGAGATGCCAATGCCCAGGCCCCTCCCGCTTCCACTCAACTCTAGGGTGGGATCTGTCTGAGCTCCAGAGCAATTCCAACATGCAGCCAGAGTTGTGAACACTGCATTGATGACCCACAAACCATCCGCTAACATCAGAAGTGTCAAACTACCCCACACATAACATCCCCATCTCTTCCACAAAAGGTTAATGGCCAATGAGATCTGGAATCCTAACTCTCATTCCACAGGGGTAAAAATAGACTAACTTCCCAACAGCCTGTTAGTCACAGCCTGTACCGAGCATGGAACCAAAAGCAGGTGGGGAAGGGGTGGGCACCAGGGCTCAGCTCAGCCACCACCAAGCAGTGGGGTTTGGCCATTTTCCAGCTCTGTGTCTCAGTCTTTTCTCCTGCAGAATAGGGCTATAATCCCCCTCCTCCCAAGGACAGAGTGAGGACAGCTCTCAAGATGTGCCTCTGGGGACTTGGAATCCACTGGAGGACAGGCACTTTTGAAATGTGTGGGTGTGGGTGAGGGTGTAATTTTAAACTGGTACCCAAACATGTTGGGAAACTTAGAACATACATTCTCTTGGTTACTCTTGTAGGAAAAAAAGGACACTTTTCTGTCTCTCTCTGTTTCTTCTCTCTCTCTCTCCCATCCATCCGTCCATCCATCCATCCGTCCATCCATCCATCCATTTTTCTTTCTAGTTATTGATGGGGGAGGGGTGGGGGAGAACACAACTTCACAAGCATCATGAGGTATTTTCTTCCTGAGTGTCAACTGTCATCCCTCAGATCCTAAAAAATGACCTCACCCACTGAAAAGCAACATTCTTCTCCACTCCCTCAAGTTTTCTCAAGGTTTCCAAGATTCTTAACAATTTTCTCTCCCAGAAACATCAAAACACCACCACAGACAGGCAGCCCAGGACATTCTCTGAGGTTTTTTATTTTTGTTTTTGTCTTTGGCTTCCATTTAAAATAGTCATCAGATTAAATAAAAACAAGCAAAAGTGCTTTAGCAGAAAGATTTCCTGTAAAGCTGTGTCAATAGAGATTGTATTTTTTTAAAGAAGTGTGTTATAATAACACATCTAACCCTGGCCTTGCTTAGAGTTGCCACAGCTGCCCCCTCCCCTGGAGTCTGGACCCCAGCTGTATTTGGGTTGGGGAGGGTAGTTGGTGGGAGCAGGACTGAAACATGTCCCCCTCGGCCACCTGCACACAGGCGGGTCCTGGGACCCTGCCAGGTGTTCGCATTCTCCCAGGGAACCTCAGGGAATGCAGAAAGTTTAAGGAATGCATCTAGATGGTACAAATGTTTTCCACACTCTGCCTCAAGCCAACATCTGTTTAACAGCCCACCCAGATGTGGACATCCAAGCGTGGTTAGGTCCAACCAATCCCAGGAGCAGAAGCCGGGAGTGCAGGGCCCAGACTGAGGGCACTGCCCCATCTGCTCTATATCCTGAAAGCTCAGCTGTCCCCACAGGGGGCTCAGAGGCGCTGGGAGGGCCCCTCCTTCAAAAATTCTCCCCGATGGCTGCTCTGGGAACAGAAATCCTATCACTCACAAAGCATTCCTCTGGGGTGAAGCTGCACAGCTTCCTGGGACCCTTGTCCTGCAAGAGCCCATTTCACCTGAAGGAAATTTTGAGGGATGCCCTGCTGGAGGCCACCAGAGTCCACTCAGTGGGGGAGGCAAGCAGCACACATCAGGCTAGGCCCACGCACCCATCCACAGGGCCCAAGCCAAGGCCAAGCCCTCTCACCTATTCAAGGCCATTGCGCCAGGAAGCGGCCCCTCTGCCTTGGACCGCTCCCATCAACGCACAGCTCATTGTTAATGCTCCCGTTGTGACCTCGCTTCCCCCAGAACCACACGCCTCTCCCCTTTACGGCGAAACTCCTGTAATACAGGGAGGACCTGCACTGTATTATCCTCCCATCTCAAACCCATCTCCTTGACCTTCACCCCCACCACTGGACCGTCACCCCTCCCATCAGGGTCACCAACGGCCCCAGTGGCTCCTTTGGGTGATTCTCACTCCTCCTCCCAAATGCCCTGCAGCAGCAGTCAGCCCGCCCCCCCCACCCTCGAAACACATCCTCCCCAGGGCTTCCAGCACCCAACTCTCACCTGGATTTCCTCCTGCCTCACTGCCAACCCCTCTTGGTCTCTTTTGCTGGTCCCCCTCACATCCCTGCTTTCTAAATGTAGGCAGACCCCAGGACTCAGCCCTTGTACATCTGGTCTACCGACCCCTCTGCCTCGTTGAAGCATCTCCTCTGCTCTCCCTCTTTCTCCCTCTGCTCCAGCCACACCGGCCTCCTTGCTGCCCCTGGAATAACTCTGCCAGCTCTGGCCTTTGCACGTGCTGTCCCCTCTGCCTGGACTGCCCCCTCCCCAGACATCTGCAAGTTCACCTCTCCACCTCCTTCGGTGACATCTTCCTTGACATCCCATTTAAAATTGCAAACCCCTCCTGACCTTCATCACTCCCCACTCCATTTTCCTGATTTATTTTTCCCCACAGCAGTTGCCATCCACCACTGGGATAAGTTCCACGAGGGCTGAGCTGTTCATCTCTTTCACTCACTCCCAGGTACCCAGTCCTAGGACCGTGCTAGACACAGAGCAGGTGCTCAATACACACTTGTAGAATGAATACTGAACGGACTACAGGCTCACACTACCTGTGATTGTAGAACTTCAAGGACGCCAAGGAAAGCATCGATTTCTCTCTCAGGGCAGATCTTGCCTTCCCCACCCTCCAATGGGGATAAGGTGTGGACCAGCAAGGCTTCACAATTTCCCAGGTCCACTCCTGGTCCTGAGTTCCAGGAAAGCCACAGGTTCATTCTGGCTTTCTAAAAAGCGGGAGGGTCTGGATCTTCTGCCCACCCAGAGAGCGAGCCAGCCAGTTGCACTTGGCTTTTCGCCAAAGCAGGGCACCCATGTCAACTTCTCTACTTGACAGAGGAGCCCCAGGCTTGAGGGGGACAAGTACAAGAGGTGGACACTGGGGCCCAGACCCTGAGCAGAAGAGACCCCCCCACCCCCCGAGCCTCTGGGTGCAGACAACACTCTGCCCCTCTGTAGTTTCGGAACCTCTTATCACCTTTGACCTTCCAACATTCCTGAGGCAGCGGGATCATCCCCACTCACCAGATAAGAAAGCCAAGCCTCAGAGAAGTTGAGGGGTTTGCCTGAGGTCACACAGGCAGCTAGTAGTTGGAACCAACTCTTGAACAAACATCTACTGAGAATTTAACATGTTCAGCAAAGATGCATGTGACATGGTCACTTCCCTTAATGGTTCACATTCTACTCAAGACGACTCAAAACTTCCAAATCTCGACCCACAGTCTTTCAGCCGAGTTCACCTTCTACCCAGGATCAGGGCTGCCACAGACTGACCGGGAGCAGGGAGGCCAACCTGAGAGTCTGGTCTGAAGGCTTCACGTGTGTCACGAGGTCTGGCACACAGGGCCCTGGGGGACTGTCTGAGAGACTCGATTCTTTGGCGCCAACAACTGCCTGTATTCGCCATCAGAGGAAATATTCACAAGTGATAGACTTTTGATTATGTGCCCTTTGGATAAGCGACAGTCGCCACATCCCTTTTAGAACATGAGCTTGTGAAGGACAGGGAGCGGCGCCTGGCACACAGCAGGGGCTCAGTAAACCCATGTGTTCCATGAACTGTGAGTATGGCTGGGCCGCAGCCACCCAGTGGGGTAGGACGGGGTAGAGGTGGTTCAGAGGGGCTGGGAGCACACAGCCAGGGGCTTCCTGCCCGGATCCCACGCTCTGCTGGGTGCGGCCATCCACACCTTGGCAACCTAGGGCCAGGTGATCAGATGCTGCCTGGAATTAGGGTCCCTTACCCTTATTACCCCACTTTGAGCTTCCGAGACCCCGTACCTGCCCAGGCCCTGCCCCCTCCCGGGCAGTGCTCACCTGGGAGATGTGGGACTGCGTCTTCTCACTCTCGCCGTCCCCCTCCGTCTTGTCGGCCAGCAGCCCCTGCACCTGGTACTCAAGCACGTAGCTGTCGATGAACCGCTCAAGCTCCTCGATCTCCTGGGAGCGGCTGCTCCCGGCCTCGGAGGAGGCCGACGCTGCTGAGGAGTTCTCCATCCCTCCCGCTCAGGGGCCTGGGCTGCGGATACAGAGAACAGATGGGCTCTATGAGACACAGTTGGAGGCAGAGATGATGACCCCACTTGAGAGATCCTCCCCCGCCTGGAAGCAGTCCCTCATCCAGCCTGCTGTCTTGGTCTCCCAACATCCTGAGAAGTCAGTGGGGTGCCAGCTCGCCTTTAGTGTGAAGAGGATGCTGTGATCCCTCCTGCGTGGGGAAGGAGACGCAGTCCCAGAGAAGGCAGGTAATTTGCCTAATTGGCCAACACAGTAACTCATGCGATGTTGAGCGTTAGTCCATACCCGGACCTTACCACCCAGGAAAAAGCGGAATATGGACCCAGTCTACAAGTTCAACCCTACTTCCCAACTTGGAGTTAACAAAATCCACCACAAAGCAGAATAAAACAGACCACAGGCTTCTACGTCTCTGACCCCAGCATTGAGATGTACAGGGGTCCACAGACACAAACCCTCTAAGGGGCCTGGGCCTCTAAGAAATACCTCCTTCTAAAGAGACATTTTCTCTTTGGACGCCAGGCTATCCCTAAATTAGGTGAAGACTGCAGGCCCTAATGTGATCTTGCAGCCCTGCTAATGGTGCATCCACTGGGACACGCGCTACACTTAGTCTGTAAGGACGTGACTGGCTTTTAATAACGACGTGAAAGGCAAGGTGGGTGGCCTGGGAGGGTGTGGCCCAGCCACGGTCCTCTGTAGGAGAATGACTCCCTCTTCAGCCCTCAGGCCCTCTCCCTGGGGGGCCTGGCATAATGTGACCATCATTCCAGGGATAGCTGTTAAAGTCCACCAATAGAACTGCTGTCCCTCCCCCACTAGACCAGGTCAACCCAGCCGCTGCAGGGGCCCAGGCCTGCAGGGACACCTCCACTGTCCATGCTTGCTCCCAAAGCTCCCTCCCGATCCACCTGGAAGTTGGGAAGGCTAGAACCATTCTCACCACTAGGTCCCTTCCCACCAGGGACCCTCCCCCTTCCTCTGGACAGGCTCTAGGCCTGATGGGAAAAGGCTTCAAAGCTTGTCTGGTGTCCCTTCCATTGTCTGGAAATCAGTGCTCTCCACAGGGAAGCCTGTTCAGCAGAGGAAGCAGAGGCTGCACATGGCTTCACCATCAGAACTAGCAGAACGGTTTTCTACCCAACCAGCACCATTAGATACACAAAGACCCAAGTAACGTATGCACGGGGCTCTGAGACCACAAAGGGCTGCTGGCACCTAGAACAGTACTGTGGATAATAAAGGCAACATCCCAGTATTTTCAAAGGAACACTTGCATTTCAAAACCTTGGATTACTGAGAGCTTTTTTAGGACACAGTTATTCACCGATAATTAAGGGCTTGTTGCGTGTTTAACGGTAATGAAACCAAAACAGCACAAGGAATGTCCTGCTGGGTTCCGGAAATGCTGCTGAGACTGAATGCTGACTCCCTCCCACCCTCGCCAGGCTCCCGGGAGTCTGTGCAGACCATGGGGAGGAAGAACTCCCTGGGGAGACACACATTCTCCAGCTGGTCTCCCGACTCGGGTTTTGGCTTTCGGCTGCTGCATGAGACCCAGCCTCCCTTGGACCCCAGGCCAGCTGTAGCGGGTGTGCGCTGGGCTCCTGAGCTCAGTGGCCTTAGGGCTCATGGATTTGTCCACCTGCCCCAGAGGGAGGAGTCTGAGGTTTCAGGGTTGGGTGAGGGAACCCAGGTGTGGAGGCCTGGGTGGCAGTGAGTGTGCAGGTAGTTCGCTCAGATTGAAATAAGCATGCCTAGTGGTGCAGGGCCACAGGAGGGGGTGGGGGTGGGGATGTCCAACGCCCCTTCCTGCACCTGCCATTCAAGGCCTACAGTGGCCTTACATCCCTCCCACCACCAACATCCACCTGCTCCAATGGCTGCCTGTGCTTCCCTCCGGCCCCCTGGCCACTCTGCTCCTTGTCCCAGGTACAAGCCGTGTGGGGCAGGTAGACCTCCTAAGAGGGTCCTGAGTGTACACCTTTCCCCCAGCTACTCAATCAAACATTAATCTAGGAACTCCTGGGAAGGAATTTTGCAAATATAATTAAACTCCAAATCAGCAGACTTGAAGAGAGGAAGAGTATTCAGGGGGGCCTGATCCAATCACACGAGCCCCCTAAATCCAGGGCTGGAGGTAGAGACAGTTTTGCTGGCCTGAAGAAGGAGGGGTGCGGGCAAGGATCCTGGGCGGCCTCTAGAGGTTGAGAGCAATGCCTGGTCAGCGACCCACAAGGGAAAGGTGCTTCCGTCCTACAACTGCAGGAAGTAAGTTCTCCAACAACCAATGAGCTCGGGGTCAGGTTTCGTCCCCCAGAGCCTCCGGACCAGAACTCAGCCCAGCCGACACCTTGATTTCAGCCTCCTGCTATACCGAGCAGACTTTCAGAACTGTGAGACGATAAGCGGGCATCGTTTAAAGCCACTCCATTTGTAGTTATTTGTTACATGGCAACAAACCACTAACACAGGATGCTTTTACTGCCTCTGTGCTTTTGCTCACACTATGTCCCTCACCCAGAGTCACTTTCCCCTTCCCTCCACCTGCCAAATCTCGGGGTCCTAACACTCATGGAGTGCTAGAACCTTAGAGCCAACAGGCAATTAGCCCAACGGGCAATTAGCTTTAATAGCGGCCAGTGGGCAAAGGATGCACCCAGCCTCGGCCTAGGGGCATGGCTACGGCAACCCCTAATAGCAGGAAAGGCTAATGTGTACTGAGCCTGTATCATGGGCCAGGCTCTCTCCTCAGCACTCCATATGCCTTTGTCCACTTACCCCTCACCGTAACGCTATGTAATCGATATAATTATACTCCTTAGAAGAGAAAACTGAGGTTCAGAGAGGTTAAGTAACGTGCCCAAGTTCTCACAGCAGAGCTCCAGGTCCAGTGACTCCCCATTGCCTCTTCATCCCACCTCCTGGCAGCCTGCTCAGGCCCTCAGGACATCTCCCACTTCGCCCTTCCTCAATGCCCTTTGAAAGCCCAGGGAATCCCTCAAGTGCTGTGTGTGTGTGTGTGTGTGTGCGCGCGCGCGCGCATGTCTTAACCCCCACTGGGCTGCAGGCTCTAGAGAGCTGGGCCCTGTGCCTAGCTCAGTGCAGGATCCTGGCCTCAGGGGGATGGGATGATAAGGCTGGTGTCCAGAGAGGGCTGAAAAGGAGCCGCCTGCAGAAAAAAGCCAGTACCTAAGGCCGCACCTATTATTCCTCGAAGACTTAAGATCTTATCACAGGCTTCTGGCGCACATCACAGGTACAGGCAGAGGGCTGGCTTCTGTAGGAACTAGACAGGAGCGTTTCCAGGAGGCGCGGCCTGCAGCAGCAGTCTCTGTCCTGCTCTGCTGGGTGCTCCCAGGCTCTTGCGGGTCTGTCACGGGGCCACACTACCGTCCTGTCAGGGAGCCCAGGGGCAGAAATCACCCCTCACTGGCTCACTGAGGAAAGAGACCGGCACTGAGACACACTGCCACCCTGGAGAATTTTGGTGCCCAGAGAGAAAAGGAGCATGCCCCACACTGGTCACTTGCCTTGGAGGCCCCCTCCTACTCCAGTCACTGCTGCCCAGTCAGATTCAACATGTAGCCTGACAGCACCTCCCCTCAGCTGCCCCGAGCGCCTTCGGCCCAGCCTCCTCTGACACACACCAGCAGTGCCTGCAGGAGCCCACCTGGCACCTGGAACCTGCATCCTAGAAGTGGGAGGAGCTAACAGCCCCTGGGGCAGCCCTGGACGGGGACAAACATTCCCTTATGGTCCTTCAGCAGGTCCCAGCGGATCGGGCCCGGCTGCCCACAGTGGCGACCAGATCCATAATGCCCCTTTGCCAGCTCTCCCTCCTTCCGTGTTACTCTCCTCAGGGACTCCTGTTCTTGGGGTACTTCTGGGAACTCTGCTTTCTGAGGGGGAACCGGGCTAACATGTCACTTGGGCTCATTTCTACATCCTAGAATGAGCCCCAACCAGGGTTCAGGTCCCTCCTTCAGTAGAAAAGACCCAAGTTTTATCTCTTTAGCAGAGAAGAGGGAGGAGGGAAAGAGAGGGAGTGCAGCTACGTTATCCGTCTCCTTGGCTATCGGTCAGGCACTCGATCCCCCAGTTTCTATAGGGGTAAAATACATATAGCACAAAACGCACCACTGTAACCATTTTCAAGGGTACAACTCAGTAGCATTAAGTCCATTCACAATGTTGTGTGAACATCATCACTATCTATTTCCAGAACGTTTTCATCATTCCAAACAGAAGCCCTGCGCCCACCAAACAACCCCCATCCCCCATCTCAGCCCCTGGCGACCACTCTACTTTCTATCTCTTCTGAATTCGGCTCTTCAACGTACCTCGTTTTGGTGGCATCATACGATATCTACCCTTTTGTGACTGGCTTATTTCACTCATAATGTTTTCAAGATTCATGCAGGTTGTAGAACGCGTCACAATTTCACACCGTTTTATGGCTGAATAATACACTGTGTTACAATAATACACTGTATGTATGAACTACATCTTGTTTATCCATTCATCCATCAGTGGACATTCGGGTCATTCCCACCTTTGGCTATTGTGATAATGCTGCTGTGAACATGGGTGTACAAGTATCTGTCTGAGTCTCTGTTTGCAGGGACTTTGGGGTATAAGCTTAGAAGTTCCACCGCATTCTTAAGGCAAAAAGAGTGAGGAGGCACAGAGTAAACTTTCAGGCTGATGGAGACACAGGGAAATAAAGGGATGCTTTCCTCCAGGACTTGTTCTGCTCCCTTCCTGCCTGTGCTTTGGGGTCTCCTCCTGGCTCCGTTTCTCATTCACAGAAAGATCAGGATGGGAAACCCCCAAACAGCTGGGCTGCTAGCTAAGTTGAGAGCCAGCAAGAGGAGCTTATGTTTTAATGATCAGTGAAAGTGATAAGGGGGACGGGACCAGAGGAGGAAGAAAGAGAGGAGAAGGTGGAAGAGGAGAAGAGACACCTCCCCTGGCTGCAGCCATCCAGGATGCAGCATG